AGTCATCCCACTAGCTTACGTCACTTACAGCCAACCTGTCGCCAGCCACCGAGTCAGCTGCCTGTATATACAGGTCCCCATCTCCCAGTTCCACAACCAAACTTTAAAACCCTTCAGAAGCAAATACGACCCTCTTGCCCCTCCACCCCCACCTACTTCCCCCTTTCCATATACCACTCTACGTCCCCTTCTTCTTCCTCCTCCTCCTCCTCCTCGCTCTCTCCCAAAGCAATTCATTGACGCCCTTGACTTTTCTCCTCGACCCTCGTCTTTTGCGCTTCCTCCTCTTGTTTCCACCCCAGCTGGTCACCTCATATAGAGCCGCCCTCTCCTCTCGCCACCTTACCCCCACCCACCCACTCTCCCCTCACCTCTCTCCCCTTTCTAATGCACTCCCTATACCTGCACCCCTCAGGATGACCTTGAGTCTGGCCAGGGAACCCTCACCCCTTAAGCCACCCCAACCCTTCCGGTACGCCATTGAATTCCTCAGATTTCGGACAAACTCCTTCAGGAACCACACCATCCACCACACACACACACACCTGGGCCACTAGATTGTTTCTTGCTGCCCCCTTCACTACTGCTCCTCCTCCTTATCCTGTTCCCTCTCCTCCTCTTTCCCCCCCTCCTCCTCCTAAGATAACACCCATCCCCTCATCAACACACACATCTCACACCTTGACAAGTTCCCTTCAACACCTCTCCACCACTACCATCCATACACCCTCCCCTTCACCCGGGACGTCCACACACCTTCCTCTTCACCAGGGACGTCCACACACCCTCCCCTTCACCACGGACGTCCACACACCCTCCCCTTCACCAGGGACGTCCACACACCCTCCCCTTCACCAGGGACGTCCACACACCCTCCCCTTCACCAGGGACGTCCACACACCCTCCCCTTCACCAGGGACGTCCACACACCCTCCCCTTCACCAGGGACGTCCACACACCCTCCCCTTCACCAGGGACGTCCACACACCCTCCCCTTCACCAGGGACGTCCACACACCCAGACACCCTCCCCTTCACCAGGGACGTCCACACACCCAGACATCCGCCCCTTCACCAGGGACGTCCTCACACCCAGACACCCGCCCCTTCACCAGGGACGTCCACACACCCAGACACCCGCCCCTTCACCAGGGACATTCACACACCCAGACACCCTCCCCTTCACCCGGGACGTCCACACACCCAGACACCCTCCCCTTCACCCGGGACGTCCACACACCCAGACACCCTCCCCTTCACCAGGGACGTCCCCACACCCTCCCCTTCACCCGGGACGTCCAAACACCCAGACACCCTCCCCTTCACCAGGGACGTCCACACACCCAGACACCCTCCCCTTCACCGGGGACGTCCACACACCCAGACACCCTCCCCTTCACCCGGGACGTCCAAACACCCAGACACCCTCCCCTTCACCAGGGACGTCACCACACCCTCCCCTTCACCCGGGACGTCCAAACACCCAGACACCCTCCCCTTCACCAGGGACGTCCACACACCCAGACACCCTCCCCTTCATCAGGGACGTCCACACACCCTCCCCTTCACCAGGGACGTCCACACACGCAGACACCCTACCTTTCACCAGGGACGTCCACACACCCAGACACCCTCCCCTTCACCAGGGACGTCCACACACCCAGACACCCTCCCTTTCACCAGGGACGTTCAAACACCCAGACACCCTCCCCTTCATCAGGGACGTCCACACACCCTCCCCTTCACCAGGGACGTCCACACACCCAGACACCCTCCCCTTCACCAGGGACGTCCACACACCCAGACACCCTCCCCTTCACCAGGGACGTCCACACACCCAGACACCCTCCCCTTCACCAGGGACGTCCACACACCCAGACACCCTCCCTTTCACCAGGGACGTCCAAACACCCAGACACCCTCCCCTTCATCAGGGGCGTCCACACACCCAGACACCCTCCCCTTCATCAGGGACGTCCACACACCCAGACACCCTCCCCTTCATCAGGGACGTCCACACACCCTCCCCTTCACCAGGGACGTCCACACACCCAGACACCCTCCCTTTCACCAGGGACGTCCACACACCCAGACACCCTCCCCTTCACCAGGGACGTCCACACACCCAGACACCCTCCCCTTCACCCGGGACGTCCACACACCCAGACACCCTCCCCTTCACCAGGGACGTCCACACACCTAGACACCCTCCCCTTCACCGGGGACGTCCACACACCCAGACACCTTCCCTTTCACCAGGGACGTCCACACACCCAGACACCCTCCCTTTCACCAGGGACGTCCACACACCCTCCCCTTCACCCGGGACGTCCACACACCCTCCCCTTCACCAGGGACGTCCACACACCCAGATACCCTCCCCGTCACCAGGGACGTCCACACACCCAGATACCCTCCCCGTCACCAGGGACGTCCACACACCCAGACACCCGCCCCTTCACCAGGGACGTCCTCACACCCAGACACCCGCCCCTTTACCCGGGACGTCCACACACCCAGACACCCGCCCCTTCACCAGGGACGTCCACACACCCAGACACCCTCCCCTTTACCAGGGACGTCCACACACCCAGACACCCGCCCCTTCATCAGGGACGTCCACACACCCAGACACCCGCCCCTTCACCAGGGACGTCCTCACACCCAGACACCCGCCCCTTCACCAGGGACGTCCACACACCCAGACACCCGCCCCTTCACCAGGGACGTCCTCACACCCAGACACCCGCCCCTTCACCCGGGACGTCCATACACCCAGACACCCTCCCCTTCACCAGGGACGTCCACACACCCAGACACCCTCCCCTTCACCCGGGACGTCCACACACCCAGACACCCGCCCCTTCACCAGGGACGTCCTCACACCCAGACACCCGCCCCTTCACCCGGAACGTCCACACACCCAGACACCCTCCCCTTCACCAGGGACGTCCACACACCCAGACACCCTCCCCTTCACCCGGGACGTCCACACACCCAGACACCCGCCCCTTCACCAGGGACGTCTTCACACCCAGACACCCGCCCCTTCACCCGGGACGCCCACACACAAACACACCCTCCCCTTCACCAGGGACGTCCACACACCCAGACACCCTCCCCTTCACCAGGGACGTCCACACACCCTCCCCTTCACCCGGGACGTCCACACACCCAGATACCCTCCCCTTCACCAGGGACGTCCACACACCCAGACACCCTCCCCTTCACCCGGGACGTCCACACACCCAGACACCCTCCCCTTCACCAGGGACGTCCACACATCCTCCCCTTAACCAGGGACGTCCACACACCCTCCCCTTCACCAGGGACGTCCACACACCCAGATACCCTCCCCTTCACCAGGGACGTCCACACACCCAGACACCCTCCCCTTCACCCGGGACGTCCACACACGCAGACACCCTCCCCTTCACCAGGGACGTCCACACACCCAGACACCCTCCCCTTCACCAGGGACATCCACACACCCAGACACCCTCCCCTTCACCAGGGACGTCCACACACCCAGATACCCTCCCCTTCACCGGGGACGTCCACACACCCAGACACCCTCCCCTTCACCAGGGACGTCCACACACCCAGACACCCTCCCCTTCACCAGGGACGTCCCCACACCCTCCCCTTCACCCGGGACGTCCACACACCCAGACACCCTCCCCTTCACCAGGGACGTCCTCACACCCAGACACCCGCCCCTTCACCAGGGACGTCCTCACACCCAGACACCCGCCCCTTCACCCGGGACGTCCACACACCCTCCCCTTCACCCGGGACGTCCACACACCCTCCCCTTCACCCGGGACGTCCACACACCCTCCTCTTCACCAGGGACGTCCACACACCCAGATACCCTCCCCTTCACCAGGGACGTCCACACACCCAGACACCCTCCCCTTCACCAGGGACGTCCACACACCCAGACACCTTCACTATCATCCCTCCACCTCACCAGGCACCCTCACAAAAATTCTCACCAGACCTCATCACCCTCTCCTTCCCCTTCCACCCTCCCACAAGGACCCCAAATCACCCTCGATGCCCCCAAATCCACCCTTCCACTGGCCCCTCCCCGGCTCCTCTCTCTCTACTTCTCAAATCAACTTCCTCCTTACTCCGTAAAGCAGTTCCCCTTCCATCCGTCCCCTTTCCCACTCCTACTGACCCAGTTCTCTTCCCACTCCCCCTACTGACCCAGTTCCCTTCCCACTCCCCCTACTGACCCAGTTCCCTTCCCTCTCCCCCTAGTGACCCAGTTCCCTTCCCACTCCCACTAGTGACCCAGTTCTCTTTCTACTCCCCCTAGTGACCCAGTTCCCTTCCCACTCTCCCTTATGACCCAGTTCCCTTCCTACTCTCCCTAGTGACCCAGTTCCCTTCCCACTCTCCCTAATGACCCAGTTCCCTTCCCACTCTCCCTAATGACCCAGTTTACCCTCTCCCTCTGTTAATCATGATCATTAATCCTAACCAAGGACCTAAACAATCTTTCACATACACATTTATTATCTGGACATCAAATGTGCGATAGTTTGTGTTCATCTATCGTTCATCTATCGTCATTACTGCAATGACGTGAAAAGTTCCTGTTTGTTTGTTACTGTTTAGTCTAAACAAATTGGCTTGTTTATGCTGCGTTAATGAACTCTTGCTTCGGGGTCCCGGTCCCTGCCCATGGGTGGTAGACTGGTTTCAGAATGTTTTGGGCTCAGTTGTGTCTCTTTGGGGTTCGTGAGTGGTGTCCACCTCCACCACTCCACTAGCAGCCTCGGTAACTACCTCTCACTGGTATTTCTGACTCAAGTACTATTTCTCCTCACCGTCAGTGATTTCCGTAAGAATACCTGTTCTTAGCACCCATCATCATAGTATTGCATTTACTTGAGTTGTACTCTATCAGCCACTTCTTAAACCAGTTCATCAGTTTATCTAGATCTTCCAGCTGTTGGGTGTAGACTTTCACCGTGATTATGATATATATTAAGACTCCTTCAGTCTGTCTGAGGACTCCTTCAGTCTGTCTGAGGACTCCTTCAGTCTGTCTGAGGACTCCTTCAGTCTGTCTGAGGACTCCTTCAGTCTGTCTGAAGACTCCTTCAGTCTGTCTGAAGACTCCTTCAGTCTGTCTGAAGACTCCTTCAGTCTGTCTGAAGACTCCTTCAGTCTGTCTGAAGACTCCTTCAGTCTGTCTGAAGACTCCTTCAGTCTGTCTGAAGACTCCTTCAGTCTGTCTGAAGACTCCTTCAGTCTGTCTGAAGACTCCTTCAGTCTGTCTGAAGACTCCTTCAGTCTGTCTGAAGACTCCTTCAGTCTGTCTGAAGACTCCTTCAGTCTGTCTGAAGACTCCTTCAGTCTGTCTGAAGACTCCTTCAGTCTGTCTGAAGACTCCTTCAGTCTGTCTGAAGACTCCTTCAGTCTGTCTGAAGACTCCTTCAGTCTGTCTGAAGACTCCTTCAGTCTGTCTGAAGACTCCTTCAGTCTGTCTGAAGACTCCTTCAGTCTGTCTGAAGACTCCTTCAGTCTGTCTGAAGACTCCTTCAGTCTGTCTGAAGACTCCTTCAGTCTGTCTGAAGACTCCTTCAGTCTGTCTGAAGACTCCTTCAGTCTGTCTGAAGACTCCTTCAGTCTGTCTGAAGACTCCTTCAGTCTGTCTGAAGACTCCTTCAGTCTGTCTGAAGACTCCTTCAGTCTGTCTGAAGACTCCTTCAGTCTGTCTGAAGACTCCTTCAGTCTGTCTGAAGACTCCTTCAGTCTGTCTGAAGACTCCTTCAGTCTGTCTGAAGACTCCTTCAGTCTGTCTGAAGACTCCTTCAGTCTGTCTGAAGACTCCTTCAGTCTGTCTGAAGACTCCTCCCATTGTTACTCTATATCATCTGTACTCACCTAATTGTGCTTGCGGGGGTTGAGCTCTGGCTCTTTGGTATCTGTGTATTTGGCATTTACGTGTCAATTGGAGTAATTTGTCTAGTGTTCCGGCCTGTTTCTCCAGTTGATGGGTCGTCTTCCGTGGACACTGGACTCTCCAGCAGACCATCTACACAAAGGTCCGCACTCTGCCTATCCTTGTGGACAAACTTCAGTACCCTATCACAGAATTTTAGTTCGTGAAGGGCTGTTGCTCTTGAATCTACGTACGTGTGTGTATTCACCTAGCTGTATTCACCTAGTTGTGCTCGCGGGAGTTGAGCTCTGCTCTTTCGTCATACCTATCAACTGTCAATCAACCAACTGTTGATAACTACTACTTTTTTTCCACACACCCACACACCCCAGGAAGCAGCCCGTAACAGCTGTTTAACTCCTAGGTACCTATTTACTGCTAGGTAAAAGGAACATCAAGGTCAAAGAAACTCTGCCCATTTGTTTCTGCCGGCCCCGGGAATCGAACCCCCGGTCCACATGACTACATATCAAGGGTGCTGTCCACACAGCCACCGGTGTGTATGTGTGAGCGTGTGTATGTGTGTGTATGTGTGTGTGTGTGTGTGTGTGTGTGTGTGTGTGTGTGTGTGTGTGTGTGTGTGTGTGTGTGTGTGTGTGTGTGTGTGTGTGTGTGTGTGTGTGTGCGCGCGCGCTTTACAACTCCTCAACAATGACAATATACGTTGAACAATTCATAATGTTCATATTATCCACACCTTAAACACCCCCCCCCCTTCTCAAGCCCCATTCACACGGTATCAACTAAAGCGATACCAAGAAGCATAAGAGCAAATAAGAGGATATAACTAAGAAAACTGCTACGGCCAGAGAAGGCGACCCCCATCTTGGGCAGGAGCCGCGGGGGTGACTGGCAGCTTGGATAATCTGTCATTATTAATTACTGAACACAGGCTCCTCTGTCTCTCTAATCACTCCTACACTAACTCATCCACTCGCTAACTCACGCACTCAACCTCGCTGTCTGTGTCTGTCTGTCCGTCTTACTCTCTCTCTCTCGTACTCTCTCTCTTATTCTCTCTTATTTCTCTCTCACTCATTCTTTTGCTCTCATTCTCTCTCTCTTACTCTCATTCTCTCTCTCTCCTACTCTTTCTCTTACTTTCTTTCTCTTACTCTCTCTTTCTCTTTCTCTCTTACTCTCTCTCCTATTCTCATACTCACTCTCTCACTCATTCTCTTACTCTCATTCTTTCTCTCTCTCTTGCTCTCTTCTCTTTCTTACTCTCTCTTACTCTCTCTCTCTTACTCTCTCTTACTCTGTTGTCTTCTCTTACCCTTTCTCTCTCTTTTACACTCTCTCTTACTCTCTCCTTCTCACTCTCACTTACTCTCTCCCTCTTTCAAACCTCTGTCCCCATTAACGCACTTTTTTAACCTCTTTCCCCTTCCTCATCACACACACCCTCTTCCCCTTCCTTTTCCCCCCACCCCACCATCCACCCAATACACACACACACACACCACACACACACACACACACACACACACACACACACACACACACACACACACACACATTCAGAAACCTAAGTGAGGAAGCTTTTAGGGCGCTTTACACTGCCTACGTGAGACCAGTCTTAGAGTATGCCGCGCCCTCATGGAGCCCCCACCTGAAGAAACACATAAGGAAACTGAAGAAGGTTCAAAGGTTTGCGACGAGGCTTGTCCCAGAGTTACGAGGGATGGGATATGAAGAGCGTCTGAGGGAACTGAACCTTACGACACTAGAGAAAAGAAGGGAGAGAGGAGATATGTTAGGAACATATAAAATGCTCAGGGGAATTGATAAAGTGGAAATAGATGAAATGTTCACACGTAATAATAACAGAACGAGGGGACATGGGTGGAAACTGGAAACTCAGATGAGTCACAGAGATGTTAGGAAGTTTTCTTTTAGCGTGAGAGTATTGGAAAAAATGGAATGCACTTGGTGAACAGGTTGTGGAAGCAAATACTATTTACACTTTTAAAATTAGGTAAGATAGGGAAATGGGACAGGAGTCATTGCTGTAAACAACCGATGGCTGGAAAGGCGGGATCTAAGAGCCAATGCTCGATCCTGCCAGCACAAATAGGTGAATACACACACACACACAAACACACACACAAACACACACACAACACACACACACACACACACACACACACACAAACACACACACAAACACACACACAAACACACACACAAACACACACACAAACACACACACAAACACACACACAAACACACACACAAACACACACACAAACACACACACAAACACACACACAAACACACACACAAACACACAAACACACAAAGAATTATAGAAGATTCAGAGGTATCCCACCAGACTAGTCCTAGAACTGAGAGGTCTGAGCTATGAAGAAAGGCTAAGGGAGCTGACCCTCACGTCCCTGGAAAACCGAGGAGTAAGAGGAGACATGATAACCACCTACAAAATTCTCAGAGGAATTGACAGGGTGGACAAAGACAAAATCTTTAGAACGGGTGGAACACGAACAAATGGACACAGGTGGAAACTAAGTACCCAAATGAGTCACAGATACATTAGAAAGTTTTTTCAGTGTCAGAGTAGTTAACAGGTGGAATGCATTAGGCAGTGTTGTAGTGGAGGCTGACTCCATACACAGTTTCAAATGTAGATTTGATAGAGCCCAGTAGGCTCAGGAACCTGTACACCAGTTGATTGACGGTTGAGAGGCGGGACCAAAGAGTCAACGATCAACCCTGGCAAGCACAACTGAGTAAACACACACACACACACACACACACACACACACACACACACACACACACACACACACACACAAACACACACACAAAACACACACACAAACACACCAAAAAAAACACACACACAAACACACACACACACACACAGGATGTCTGAATATGACGTGAAACTAGTAAGAAAAAAAAGTAGGAGATCTGCAAATAGTTGTAGAGAGATGTGAAGAAGCTACAGGAGGGGTCAATCTACTGGATTTACACGAAAGCTGCAGGATTGGTAGGACAAGCTATATTGTAGACTGAGTCGCATAATTCAAAGAATTGTTTGAACAAGCTGCTGGACCGGTTAGACAAGTGGCAACTAGAGTTCAACAGGAAAGCAAATGTAATGTGACGAGGATGATAGTCCAACCATCGCAAGGGAGATGAGAACGGCTTTTGGGGATCACACAAAGGATGATACAAAAGGGTGGTCACTAAAATGGTGGCATTAGAACAAAGTGTCATTTAAGGGGTCAGATTAGAACAAAGAAGGAGGCCATTTAAAGGGTGTGATATTAGAACAAGGTATCATTCAGACTAGAACTTGGTACAAAAATATGCAAAACATAAATACAATAAAGGGTGAACATTACACTCACCATTGGAGCCCAGAACATGATCCCAGCAGATCCCATTTCGATCAGCTTACCTGCAAGTAATGGGACAACGGAGCTCAAGCTTGGACCACTGAGGCAGTAAATATAAAGAATGAAGCGAAGTAGTTACCTCATTTCATTAAGGGTGAGATTAGAAAAAGGATTAGGGCTTCAATAAGGGTTGAGATTAGAACAAAGATTAAAGCTTCAATAAGGGATGAGATTAGAACAAAGATTAAGGCTTCAAGAAGGGATGAGATTAGAACAAGGATTAGGGCTTCAATAAGGGGTGAGATTAGAACAAAGATTAAGGCTTCAATAAGGGGTGAGATTAGGAGAAAGATTAAGTCTACATTAAGTTTGAGATTAGAACAGACAAGTTCTTGAATACAAGGATATGATTCTTGAATTATATCCTTTCAACTGTAAACTAAGAATATGAAGAAATATAATAGGCTAATTGTAATATACTTATTGATGTGTACCTAATCTCTCTCTGTACAACCTGTATCACCTTCCCCCCCCCCCCACCCTGTGCCAACCCTTCCAGTGGTACAGGTCAACCCGTTCTCGCAAATTTAATAAGTCAATATTGACTTATTATATATGTGCATAGGTGACATACTTAACATAATAGTTTCCCTTGAAAAGCTTCATAGAAAACCCCGACCTTACCTAACCTACTTAGTATGTTAAGATAAGCATCTTATTGCTTCGTAATTACAATTATTACCTAACCTATACCTATAATAGGTTAAGTAACAAATGGAATTACGAAGCTATAAGATGCTTATTTTAACATACTAAGTAGGTTAGGTAAGGTCGGTGTTTTCTATGAAGCTTTTCAAGGAAACTATTATGTTAGTATGTCACCTATGCACGCAACTAATAAGTCAATATTGACTTATTAAATTTGCGAGAACGGGTTGTACAGGTAGTGCACCTGTACCAAGTGTACCACCTGTGCAACCTGTACAAACTGAACTGTACAACCTATACCGCTTATACCAACTTTACCATCAGTCCCACATCCAAAAACTGCTCAATTTGTCCAAAACTAACCCTACTTGCACCACTTGTTCCAAACTGTAACGACTGAACCACCTGTAACCCTTCAAACGATGCAACCCGACAGCTGTACAGTTCAGACCGTCATAATGAGAGAGATTACATACCATACCACCCGAGC